TTTTTCACTTTCAGCTATAGAAATTTGTTTGGTTTTTTTGTGACTAACAAAAACTGGACAATCTAGAGAATGAGCTACAATTTTACACATTTATTTGCTATAATTTAAGTTCAAAGAGTCGTACTGACAGGTTTCCTTCTATGTTACAGCAGGTTTTTCTTCATTATGTAGAAAAACGGTTAAATATGTAACAACTTTAGTTTCACTGGTCCGACCCACTTAAGATCAAAGTGGGCTGAACGTGGCCTATGATGTAAAATTAGACACATCTGGTCTAAAGAGAGTATCGCAGGAGATGATGCTCTATCAAATACCCTCGGAAATACCCCAGGATAACAGCAATAACACTGCAGGAGAGAGAAACCTCTGGCAAAACACACAAAATAAGTGTGCATGGCTTGTTTATTGTACTGAATAAAGTCAGTTGCTCTCAGGCTCGGTGTGTGTGTGTGTGCGTGTGTGTGTGTGTGTGTGTGTGTGTGTGTGTGTGTGTGTGTGTGTGTTCCCTGTTTTATTTGTCTCTGGTTGGGGAATTAGGGCAACAATGAAGTGTGGGCCACCGTTCTGGCTCTGATCTGGCTTCATGCTTTCAAGATGGATGCAAAGGATGAGTGGGAGCTTCTGGCTATGAAGGCTGCCTCATGGCTCCGTGCTCAGAATGGTAGTAACACGATAATAACAGAAAATGCTGCATATCCATGACACAAAGTTAAAGTGAGCTATTCTTGCAAATTCATTCTTTTAATCCTTGTGTTTTGTGTTCTTAGCACCATGTGTGTCAGAGTGTGTGGACGCTGGAAATGTCCTGTTGGGTTCCAGCATGAAGAAAGAAGCTCTGGGACTCTGAGAGTTTTCTCAAAGAGCTAGTTATGCCAAATGCCTTTTGATTCAGTGTTGTGTCTTCTTCATTCACGTTTTTCACTGACTGTGTGTTTATACATCATTCTGCGTTTAATCATCAGTTATTATTAATCTTTGGCTCTCTTCCATAGCGTGTCGTTTGTCCTGCTCCCTCCCCTCAGAAATAAGAGAGAAAGCACGCTCATGTACACACTTAATGTGCCCTACACGCTTGTGCCTTGGGAAACGTTCGTCTTTGTGATTAAGATGTGTATATTAGTACGCAATTTATGTTTAATTTTCTGTACATTTCAGTTAGAAAAACGAGGAGAAGCCTTAAGAAAGGAAAGGGTTTTAAAAGGTCTTCAAAGTCAAGAAAAGTAAGCCTTGTGGAGATCTCTTCTATTTTGTTTGCTGGCTGTCTAGCTTCACATTGTTACGTGGTGTGAGGGCAGCACGAGGCAACTGTTGTTGTGATTTGGAGCTATATAAACAAAACTGAATTAAATTGTACTGAATGATGTCTCCACTGTTATATTTATTGTTCATGTTTCATTTTTATTTTGTTGCAATTGTTGTAAATGCTTTTTGAACTTAATCGAACTATTTTATTTGTATTTCCATTTGTGCCTTAAACTGAAAATTAAAAATTTAACTTGGTGCTTGGAAGATTAAGAATTTGTTCTTTGGTTTAACTCAGTCCTTCTGAGTAAAGATCTATAGCTTCAGTTCAAGAAAATGAATAATGGTATACAGGAGTACAGTATCAAATTACACTGATAACTGAAAAACTACCATGCGGCTTATTCTTTCATTCTTTATTAACAGGACAAGTCACATTAAAGCTTTACAATAAAAAAGACACGTAACAAACACAAAACATCAGAGAAAAATAAGTTTATCAAAACATAAGTTCTGATAAGTAAACGTGAGCAAAGGCTGTAAATGTAAAAGCTACACTTTAGCATAAAATATAATGCCTAAACATACCATTACAGACATATCTGAAACCGAACTGGAACTCTTAAACGCACTACTATCGTTAAAGCTTTTAATGTGTAAAGATAAAGTTGATAAGTTTATTTCCTGTTTGTGCATCTGTGAAGCCTCGCTCACTAAATGATCTCGTTGGAGGGATGCAGCAGAAAGCCTCTGTCGTCACCGGAGTAGAACTGCGTGCGCGTATTGTAGACACATAAGCTTGAACTTCACACACATACTACAGATCGGTGCTTATCGGACACACAAATCCCTCTTTTCAAAGGTATGCTTTTCTCCAATTCATTGTAACTTTTCTTTAGACGTTTTAACCTGACGCACTTCATAAAAAACGCCGTAAGAAGTGTACTGACAGGAGCTGTATACAGATGCAGTCTGTATTTTCCTTTTTATTTACTGCCAGAATAATATCAAAACTTGTTCTGAGTCTAAAAGAAATCTCACCCAGGGCTGCTGCAGTTGGCGGTGAAACGTAACGAGTTCGGGTACCTCATATTTCAGTGGCGAGAAACACAACTTGTCTTTTCAAGCTAAATCACGATGCTGTGGCCCAGTTAAACACGTTAATGCATCAGTACATATCACTTAGTTGGGTAAAACTAAGGTGTTTCTTTCTAACCGCAACACAGGTAGCCTTGTGAAAAAAAAAAAAAAAAAAAAAAAAAAGCACGGTGTGCATACACATTTCTGTTCATAGCAAGCAAAGTGAAGCGTTCACCGAGCAGTTTCTTGAGCGTTTCTGTAAAAATAACAATCAATAAATTTGCATCATTTGCAAAAATCTCACCTGTACTTAACCTTTTGGGTTTTTTTCTCCTCAGCCTGTCAATTAGACATCATCCCTGCTATATTTGTTGTTGTTGTCCCTGACAAAAACTCTTTGTTACCACTGTTATTCATTGTGCACTGCTTCTGTTAGGGTTAGGGTCTGTGGTTTTACAAATGCAATAGTTTGACAGCTAATAAAGAAACCATCCCCGTCCAAGCTTTACATAAATTCCAGACTCATCTTTTTTAAAAATATAAAATTCAGCTTATTGCAAATGGGGGAAAAGTCAGAGATGATATAAATAGTTAAGTAAAAAAATAAGCTAGATTAGACATCTACATTATTGTAAATTATCCATCTTGATATTTAGCACTACTGATGATAAGCAGTAACGAAAGGAAATCCTCTCTGATATCCCAAAACTTCCATTTGTCCATATAAGATGCCACAAAGCTGCTACCATAAACACAATATTTTATTACCGGGAATATAGTTACTCAAAGATGACAAACGGGAAAAAGAGACTAAAACAAACAAAGAGGAAGAAGACCATGAATCAACCACACATTGGATCCAGGCTTCTGTTCTGTAAAACTAGACTAACAGAAACCAAATCCAGGAGTACTGGTAACTCTCAACTCAACATATACTTGATAAACAAAACTATTAAAGGAACAGAAAGATGAAACCGATGCTGATGGAGTTTAGGTAGATGGAGAGGACCGAAACACCAGTTGGCGACCCACATGTTGTGCTGTCTTCAGGTTTATATTTGTGCAGCAAGCCATGAGCGCCCACATTCAGCTCTAAGAATAAATCAGAGATGTGAGAGAGCAGGTTAATGAAGGTGACAATATAAACACAACAAGACGATGACCGGACCGATGCTCTCACGCCCCAAACTTAATGCATGACCTGATGTGTATGATCGTGAAACATTAGGTCTGCTCCTAAACAGGGTGTCATTTCTAGCTTTGGACTTTATTTGGATTTAAGCTACAAATTAAGGTCATACAGTCATCCTTATTTTTAATAAAAATGTGGGAAAAGTAAAACAAGTGAAAGACATGAAATACGTGCCTTCATTTAATCTACTCTAATTCTGTCTGCTAAAGTTACAACCAAAAGTTCATCCCCTACTTCCAGTTTATTTAAACTTCTGCTGCCAGATGTTGAAAATATTTATAGAGAAAAGGCTCTTGGATGCTTAATTGTTTTCTTTAAAACTTTGCAAAGCTTTTAAATCCTTATATTACGTAACTATTCCCTAGTTCTAGATTTAGATCTTAACTGTTCCTCAGTCAGATCCTCCTAACTATCATTGTTAGTTATTTGGCTTCTGGTGCCAAAGTGAAAGCAACACTAAATTATCTTCTTTGGAGTAAATCTTTGTGGTAGTTGTCTCTTGCACAGGAACAATGGTGAGAGCCTATGGTCTGCTAACTGCCCAAAAGGAACCAGGTAAAAAGTTGATGAACATCCAAATGCTCAGGAGACTAAACTAATTTTGAATTTAATCAAAAACAATTGTGTTTGGATGTTTATGTTTTTCTTTTAGTTCCTCTGAAGAGCATTGAGGTGGAGCTGGAGGTGAGGGACCATGTGGCTACAGTGGTCTCCACTCTGAACTACGAGAATAAGGAGGACAAACTATTAGAGGCTGTTTTTGTCTTCCCTCTGCCTGGAGATGCTGCTGTCTGTCATTTCAGTGCTAAGATCGGACAGACACAGATTGTAGCTGAGGTGAAGGAGAAACAGAAGGTGAGCTGGAGAGAAAATATAACCTGATTATAAGTAAGATTCAAAATAACAATAAACACAGTGAATGTCACTGACATGTCTCACCTGTCCCTCAGGCGCATGAGGATTATGATGATGCCCTGAGCTCCGGTCAGCAGGCCTTCCTATTGGAGGAGAGTGATCAGAGTCCAGATATATTCTCTCTGAGTGTGGGCAGTCTGCCTCCAGGAGAGAGCGCCTCCATCAGGTTGGAGTACGTGACTGAGCTGGCTGTGCAGGCTGATGATGGTCTGAGGTTCTGTCTGCCTGCTGTGCTCAACCCTCCATACCAGCCTCAGGGTAGGAACACTTCAAAATACTTGGACCAGAAATGGTTAAACCATATTAGGTCTTGAACCAACCACACAATACAGACAGAACACAATATATGTGAGAAAAAGCATCAAAGTTCAACTTTATTTTCTCGAAAAAAAAGATAAGACATAACACTGTGACTGTCAAATATATTTATCAGATTGGAAAAAATGTAAAAGACTTGTGCCTTCCTTGTACCTAATTTCCCTGAAACCTTTAATTGGACCAGATGTTTTTAGAAGCTTTAATATTTAATGCCTTATTGTTCACAACATTTCTAACCTGATGTTGTGTACAGGTAGTGAAGGTGCAGGAGTCCAGGTAACTTCTGTTCCAGCCTCTCTGGTGTCCTACAGTCTGTCTTTCTCTGCCCGAGTGTCCTCTCCTCGTCCAATCTCTAAAGTAGAGTCCAACTGTTCCCTGGACCCTCTCCAGTACCTCAACACTGATCAAACCCAGGCCACAGTAGGTAGAGTGCTGCTGTTTCTGCTGTGTGTGGTTGTTACTTATTACTGATGATTAAATATGAATGTGTTTGTGGTGTGCAGGTCAAGCTGGCTGCAGGACACAAGTTTGACAGAGATGTTGAACTGCTGATTTATTACAAAGATGCTAACCAGCCCACTGCTGTGGTGGAGGCAGGACAGGCCTCTGCTGAGCCGGGTGAGTGGAAATGACAGAAGTAGTTGGTCTGCAAATACAGATTTTTAATATCCCCATTCTTTCACTCAAAAGTTTGAATGTGTATGAAAAAAACTCTGAAAAGCAAATTTATATAAACTTTTTTGTGTCTGTTATTTTTCAGGCTCTCTGATGGGTGATCCAGTGGTGATGGTGAGTCTGTACCCTGAGTTCCCCCAGACTGTGATGTCTTCAGTGGCTTCATGTGGAGAGTTTGTGTTTCTAATGGATCGATCTGGAAGTATGAGTAATACTCGCATCAGCAGTGCCAGGGTATCCATAATATACTTACTCATAAACTCTTTAGTTTTATAATGTTCCTCTCACACAGTGGACTTATAATTTCTTCTTTCTTTCCTGAAGGATACTCTGCTGCTCCTGTTGAAGAGCTTACCAATGGGCTGCTATTTCAATATTTACAGTTTTGGGTCCAGATATGAACACATCTTCCCGTGAGTCTCTCCCAGCCCAACAAAGCTTCCTTTGTCCTTGCCATGAAATACGTGCATGTTTGTATTGGTATTTGTGTGATGGCAGTAAGAGTGTGGAGTACAGCCAGCAGACCATGGAGAAGGCTCTAAAGACAGTTGAGCAGATGGAGGCTAATCTTGGAGGAACAGAGATGCTGGAGCCCCTCAAACATATTTACAGCCAGCCCTGCATTCCCAATCAGCCTCGACAGGTAACACACCAAGTTAGGTTCAAACTTTCAGAGGGAGCTCAGCTCCCAAACATAATTTCATCCATACAGTTTCTTGTGATTAATATTAATGAAATATGCTTTTGCAGATGTCATCAACTGGTTTCAGATTTGCAAACCTCAATTCAGTTTGATAACATTACAATGTTACCTTCTAAAGCAGCCTAACTGGTTCGATGATCTATTCAGAGTGAATAATCAGAGATTTCTTTCTAATCCACCCATTGAAGCCAACTGGTAATAGAGTTGTTTTATATTAATTCATACAAACCCTCCCTTTATGATGCAGACTCAGCATTATATACCCCAATTTCACGAGTGGAGAATAGATTTGTATTCCCTCACATGAATGTAATGACAGCCATCCTGTTCACCATATTTAGATTGGTATGAATCCTGTAAAATGGACCCTTGTGCACCTCTTCCACCTCCGGCTGGAGCAGCTTCCCCACGTGGCTCCTCCACTGCTCTCGGCTGAGCAGTTTGCGGACACAGTAGTTGCTCTGTGGCACTCCTCCGCGGGGCCGATATGAGCGCAGACACCGCACCGGGTACTACCGCTCCCGCCCGAGGAGTGGGGATGGGTGCGGCAGCAGGCTGCATCTTGCCTGTTCGCACCCTGCTGCTCGCCTGCCACTGGGGAACCTGGTGGGGGTGTCGGTGGTGTCGGTCAGAACTGGATTAGAGCTGCCAGATTCGCAATCCTTTGTGTGCTGCAGTCAATCCAGTACCGGAGTTCTTTCTGCTTAGACTTTTTGGTTTCTGCACCACTGTGGCAAGAATGAGGCATGACGCGACCACGATTCTGCATTCTGAAACATCTTACTTTATTAAACGGTTGCTGTTCGTACAACTCGGCTCCGCTTCCCAGCTGCCAGCCACACGTACACAACAACAATACAACAGGACTTCACACCGCTCTTAAGCTGGGCAGGCGTGATTGCGATGCCACACAGATGTGTCCACCTTCGCTGCTGTGGCACCGCCAGCCACGTCCTGCCACAGTGCTCTGATGGAAATTTCCTTGAGCACCCCCCAAAAGAGTCCAAACTCAACTATGTAACACACACACACAGTATGTTTGACTTCAGAAGACATTTCACTGACTTGAAAAAACTGAATAATAGCTGAATAATATAAACATGTTGTACATATGTCTCTTAGCTCTGTGACATTATCATACTACCCTTCTTCCATCTTCTTAAGTACCATGTTTTGAGTTCATATTAACTGTACATTGTTCTTTGCACATTACCATTAAAACAATTTGTGTTTCTGAACCTAACTCAGCTCTCAGAACAAGCTGTGTGTTTGTGGGTCTGATGTTCTGTCCTTATGTGCCAACTCTCCTCTCTAGCTGTTTGTCTTTACTGATGGAGAGGTGGGGAACACCAAAGAAGTGATAGATCTGGTGAAGAAGAATTCAGGTTCTCACAGGTGAAACCACAAAAACACAAGTATATCTACACAATTACAGAATGTCCAACATGTCCTCTGTGTACTTAAAGAAAACTGTTGTATTGCAGGTGTTTCTCTTTTGGGATTGGGGAAGGGGCCAGCTCTGCTCTCATCAATGGGATGGCCAAAGAAGGAGGAGGTCACATTCAGTTCATCACAGGGACTGACAAGATGCAAGCAAAAGTAATTAAACACAAAAAGAAAACAAGTTAAGCAGCAGCAGCAGCAGATACATATTTAAGATCAGACCTGCAGTGAGTAAAATGTCTGTTCCAGCTGTTTGTGTATATTTGGAAAGTCTTTCATTATTTTTCAGGCGATGCAGTCGCTGCGATTTGCTCTGCAGCCGGCTGTGGTCGACATCTCAGTCATATGGGATTTACCAAAGGAAGTGTCTGTCACTGTCCTCTCTCCACCAATCACAGCACTTTTTCCAGGTCAAAGGTCACTGATTTATGCCCAGCTCACTGGACAGGTAGGAGCAGCAGCCTCTCATGTTGTTGTTTAGATATTTGATGACAGTAATTAACGTGACTTCTAACCCTGTGATTCTGTGTCAGTGTTCAGAGGCAGCAGAGGGCTGTGTGACGGTGAAGTACAGCCTGGCAGGTCATCCCTCTGAGAACCAGCTGCACTTCAGTCTCAGACCTGCAGAGGACACTGGGTAAAACAGAGTTTTGATATAAACAGCACTGTTCTGTGGATCATGACTTTAGACTTAAAGTTGCTAAGTGTGAAGCATATGACACTATCCAGTTAATCCCTCCCATGTTCTATTTCTAACCTCTTTTACTTGACCTTGACGATCACGTCAATGAGGTCATAAATAACTTATAAATTCCAATTTTATTTGTTCCATACACAGTACAACATGTAGTGAAATACTTGTGTTCGAGCTGCGGACAGGCTGCAGACGTAGCCGCTCCATCCCCGGGCTTTGTTTTAACATGGGGGTCTAGCCAGGACCCTTACTGGATACTGGATACTGGAGTCTATTTTCAGGAGGGAAGATGTTATCAGAACTAGTGTGTAATCGGGACTTTGCATAGATGCTTAAAGCTCTTATTGCAGTGCCAAAACTTTGTCTCTGTCCTAAAACTCCTCCCTCTGTCCTCACGCTGACTGTTTAGAGGTGAACCCCACTTATTGTTCCACTTATTGCTGTGCCATTAGCAAATGTTGTTGCGCAGCTGTATTTATTATGTTTATTTTCATGAATGGTCAGATGGTCCTTACAGTGAATTATGGGAGAACATTTTCTCCTCCCTTTCTGTAAAGGATGGTCCAACATCAGCTCACTTTCCCTTCCTGTCTCCCAGCTCCAGTGCTTCTTACTGTAAGTATTAGTTCCCAGTTTAGGTTTCGGTAGTTTATAGCTTTCCGTTTCCTTTTGTACTTTATGTTCCACATTTCATCAGTTTCACCTTCAGTTTAATAAAAGGCTCGCATGTTGAATTTAGGTCCTAATAGAGGCCTCCTGTCCATATACTGCACAGTGCAACTAGTGGAAAATAATTATATCGCTTTATCTGTTTTCACTTGAAATGCCACCATGAGCTTCTGTTCTGTGGAATGAGATTTCCACTAGGAGATTTTCTCTTGGTGTGAGCGTTTGTCACCATTCATGTTATCACTGTGATTCTTATATAAAGCAGTGGGTTTATCTCCATCTATGTTTGACCTTAGAGAGCATACAATATAATAAAAACAGAGAAGTCACTGGTAAACAGCTGTAGTAAAAATATGTCCGTACTTCTTTACAGATTAACAGTCCACAAGTTGGGTGCTCGGACTCTGATTCGTTCCCTGGAGGAGGGAGAAGACAGAGGATGGCAAGACACAAAAGTGAAGGAGAAGGTGGTGCAGCTCAGTGTCCAATCGGGAATAAGCAGTTCACTGACTGCCTTCATTGCTGTCTTCAATAACAATGGCGAGGCGATTCAAGGACCTCTTCTGCACAAAAATATTTCAAAAGATGGTGAGTTTTTAAAAGCAAGAACTAAAACTTTCACCCACAACTCTGAAGATCAAAATTACAGTGCATGAATAAAGGGAGTGCAGTGATTAAAAATAGTTTTATAAGATGACTTGAAAATAAGCTCATTAAACTAAAAACCAAAATATTAAGGGGGGAAAAAACCCATTGGTCAACACTGACAGTGTACCAAATAAAGGATGGCCAGCTAGAGGTCTATATACTGTGGGGCCCATTCAGGAGGCAGCTGAATGGGTCTGCAGAGAGGGCAAACTGAACAAGGGACTAAATAGATGAATGAAAAACATATAAAACAGCAATGTCATCCAAATGTCATTCCGACTGGTGACGTGTAGTCGGATGGTAACAAAGACAGAGAGGGTAGTCAGAATGGACACGATTGGACTGCCAGAAACTACTTTGGAATCTCACAGGCAAATGGGAACCATCAAGAGGCCTCTAGAAGAGACCGAGGGTAAGGCAAGTCCTGAGGAGTATGCTAAATGAGAAGAACAAGATCTGGGAATCAACACCTGCAAGAAAGCTCCTCATCATGCATGGGGTTTCAGCCCAAGTCCAGCATCCTGAAACTTTTCGCTAAGCGAAAGGAAGCGGGCCAAGGACTGGTGAGTGTCAGAACCACTATCCAGGATGAAAAAAAAAAGAGCCATGAGTATATCAGGAAGATGACCACAACTGATCACGTACATAGGGAATACTCCAGGCAGCAGAAACCTGAGAAAGAAAAGGAGGAAAAAGAGGAACCATCATGGAAGTATAGGTCTATGCAGGGCAAGTAGCACTGACAGATAGAAGAAGTGACTGATATCGAGAAATCCGAACAGTGGA